CATGACAATCCGTTATGATTATTTTGTGCATTGGGGGTTGATTCAATTCACAGGATCCTAAAAGTGACTCAGAAACGATAAAATTAGCAACCAAAACAGACAAATTCCGTCTAATCATCATTCACATCAGCGATTTCCATGTTTCTCATCACATTCAGAAAAAATCCGCTTAATGGAATACTGTTGCGGGGTGCTTTTCACATTTGTGAGTAGTATGCTCTTCGCGCGCGCGCGTGTGTGCGCGCGCGCAAGTGGAGGCCATTGGCGAATGCTCACACTATTTAAAAATAAACATTGCCTCTCGGGGTGAATTGGTGTATTCAGCATTGCAACTACGGAAGATGTCAACTGATCCTGAGCGTTATTTGCAACTATTATTATTCCGTTTTGATGATACCCTTTGTTCTGTAAAATTCGATTTTCCCCACCTCAGGTCATTCTTTCAGCTTGGCGTTTTTCCTCAGCCGGACACTGGTCTTGTTCACATACAACAAAACAGTAATGAATCACCTAAGCAAAGAGAAAAAGTGGCGAATAAAAATGCACCGAAGATGGAATGTATATTTCGTAATTATCCTTCCTCATCAATCGCGTACGCAAATTGCGTATCACCGCGTTTGTAACACTTGCATCGTTGATATTTTCGTACACCGGATGCAGGAAAAATCAAACAAATAGTTTTGTAATGCTCCATATTTCGGATGATGGCCAACAGAGAACACGACTGACATTTCAGACTATCTTAACATCCAAAACATTCACAACAAAAGATTGCTCCATACGTTCGCTACTCTCGCGAGAGACAGCTAGAGTAGACTGTTCAGATGTGAGAAAATAAAGTTAGCAATTCGCCCGAAATACTTGTGCGACATTATACTAGGCGGATTGCTCTATTAGAAAATCCGTTGTCATTTTCTGGTCCGAGCTGATTGAATCAATCAACCAAGTAATGTGTTTCCATTAGTATTCGTGTACAAAACTGAAAGGAATGCAATGAACACTGGTATGTATCTTGAGCGACAGCGGTTAAATGAATATGAATATGATGGGAGCGACGTATTGGGTTCTGGGTTCGAATCCGCCATCACCGCCCTTCATACCCCTTTACGTATGTCCGTGAGATACCTCTGATTTGTCCTGCAATGAATTAGTTGAAATATGATTCCTTTTGGTCTGTGAGTCATCATACAATTCGACCATCAAGTCCTGCATGAATCAGCCCCATTGTGGTGCACGTGTAGATCATGCAAATCACAACAGCAAGAGAATGAAGGTAAAACATTTGCCTTCAGACGACCCGGTTGAAAATCCTTTGCAGCTGTGTTTTTTTTTTTGTGTAGCTTCCTGCTTTGTGAGTGAAATTCATGGCACATGGTTGAAATCCGATTTTTCTCCTAAAAGTTTGTGTGCATAGGTTAATAAACCGTACAAATCGGGTCAATTAGGCAAGGAAATCAAACACTGGGAAACAATGAACACACGTACCTCATCGGGTGAGCAATAACGAAGTTTGCCGTCGTGTGTTAGGTTTGGATAGTCTTTCTCCAGCAGAAGTAATCGTTCTACAGCACCACCGATGGCTTGATCACGTTTTGCCTCTTCATCAATTATCTCTCCGAGCTCATTTTGCACGTCCTGAGCAAGACTGGAAGAAGAGCCATGGTGGTCAGACCATGACATGGTGTAGAGTTATGAAGAATCTGGCTTCAGCATTAGCTTCGGTTGGCACAGCCCGACCACCAGGTTGGGACCCAAGGGATGAGGACTGTCGTTCGTTCGAGACGTTCAGAGATATGAGCCAGAATAGAAGTCAGTGGCGCGAATGCTGTACGGTCTGCCTGTCGAAATCTTGTGCTCCGTAAAAAGTAAATAACAACAGAAAAAAATGTCAACAAGTGTACAGTTAAACACACAAAACTTTCTTTTTTATTTCATTTAGCTTCCATTTTCCATTTTGACTGTTGCACCTGCTTTCTTGTGCGTTCTCTATCCCAATCCACTTCCACTTGTTTTTGTGGCCCTAGCACCGTGCTTATCTAGAAGCCGGTGTTAAATATACATATAAAAATTAATGCAGTGATCGGTAAACTAAAAATGGAAGTTAATGGGTGACCTTGCAACAGGGGGAGAGGAGAGATTAATTTTCCAAACAATGAAATAGAATACCTTATTTGGATGTGATGACAAGAGATGATCAGTGAGGAAGGCTATGGACGCAGAAAGTCAGCTTCATGTGCCCTCGGCGAGTGTAGCTATTCGCTCACTTGTCATATGGTGAGTATTAGAATACGGCTTTTTTCCAACCGAATCATAACCATCAAGCCTAGTAATGAGATGAATCGGATATGATATTCTCGACAAACCCGGAGAACTAGACTGTTCTATACCAGATATTACTGCACTATATTTCAAACTCTCCTCAGTCCAGACTGTGAACCAAACAAGTCATCATGTAAACAGTCTGTATAACAAAGAAAGTCAGTTTGCAATTCGCTCTCTCATATGCTAATCAAACGAGAAACGGTCTGATCATCTGCTCGACAGTGAACTAAGTAGTATGGTACGTTCAATTTCCACCTTTGTGATCACAGGTGTAACCCCCGATTAGGACAATAGATCCCAACTGCTGATCAGACCCAACCAAATCGAAACAGCTGCTTCATTCGCTCTGCAGGCGACCACATTTGCAATAGCATTGAGTCTAAGCCTCCACCCCTATCAAGTAGCTATATGTACCAGGGTCCCTTTTAAATAGATGCACTTGAATAGTAGTGGATACAGCTTCGGTAAAAAAGTGAACACGTTCATCCTAGGTGGTGAATCTAGGGTCCAGTGAGTGACATCTTCAACTCCAAAGCGGTAATTTTACTAACTTAAAAATTTATGCCAAATTTTATAAGTCTACACCCGCTGATAGAAGACGCGCAGGTTCTATAGACTGCGGCTACGATTGTGGTCAAAGGGAACAGCATAACTTCTTGGTTTGCTTTATTTTTTGTACATTTATTGCGTTTCATTTTACATAATCTTCTCCTATCCCGGTTATGTATGCAATAGTTCAGTTTTGTTGATGTATGAAAGAACGATTTTACACCATTGGTTCATCAAACAGCCAGTTTGCAGTCATGATTAACGCGCAGATCTTGAACAGTCGTGAACAGAAAACAAATCACAATATGTCACGGAGTCAGTCACCAGAACTGTACCACGTGACCCCTAGTCGATCGTGACAGACTCCTAATAGACTGACAGGTAATTTTCATGGGCAAAAGCACAGAGCAGCCAAGTTTGGAATCCGTGGGGTTCACAATGAAACTGAGGATAGTAAATGAAACTCAGTACTGGAAGGGACTAATCGATTGCATTGCATAACACATCAATTTGTTAACCCTGTGTGAGGCAAGACGTAAATATACATGCGATCAGATAATCCAACGAGTGTGCTCACACTGCATACTGCGTTTCCAATAGCAGTCACCTCATTTGTCCGGTAGGTGATACCAATTTGAGAGATTTGAGTAAGTGTGTGTGTGTGTGGCGGTGGGTGGGTGGAACGAAGAGCAGAACCAGGTCCAAGGAATAGAAATACAGCAATGGCAAATCAAGTCAAATGAAGAAGTTGCTTTATTACATAATCTGGTGCAAATTCAGGTGCCAAATCATCACTCACTCCCACCCCAAAAAAATATGAAGATATGGATAAATGTACACCGTTTACGGTGTTAACCTACAGTTATGAACAAATCATGCCATATACTGTTCGGGTAGCACACAAAGAGAAGATTGAACTATGGAAGAGTATTACGTTTTTTGCTTGAATATGGTTATACATTTTAAGTCAAGCCAAGGAATGGCTTTATACACCTCGAGAGGTGGATATTCAGCAACCACATAAACACATCGTGTCAAAAAAAGTGAAAAATACAACAACAATTTAATACAACAATTAAAAGTAGTGAAAAAGAACAGTAACATCAAAAACCAATGGTATACCCGGTTGTTTAAAATTGATTTAGTTTGGCGTTTGGCGCAGATTTCCTTCAACGAGTTTATGGTTTGTTAGAAATCTGGCGAGATAAAGGACCTTAGACAGCCTGTAAGCTTTGATGCGTGGCTTTATTAGTTTGTGAGTGGAACAGGTGGATGAGTGAGAAAGGCACTGACTTGCGGCGACAAAAAAGGATGGGGAATATCAGATAAAATTTGGTTGGAGAGTAGAAGAGATTGAATTACATTTATACAACGCGGAGTTAAGTGTATGGAAGGAGTCAGACAGTATTCTGAGAGCCAGTTTATCATAGGCTTTGGTGTGTTGGGAGACTACCTAATGGATTAAATGAGTTTTTGGTACATCACAACGCTGGGATAAATGTCTGAGTGAGCTAGACATCACACACATTTTTTTGTAATAAGCCAGGAAAAATCACTGAGGAAGCATAGAGCCAGTGAGGTCAAGTCAAGTCAAGTCAAGAGTGTACTTTATTCAT